TGATCCCTCCTCACGACGATGACAGAGCCGTGTAAACGTGCACTTCGTTTTAGTCGGGTTGATTTGCTGTTTACACAAATGCATGGTCCAGGCAGACGGGGAACAGTGTTAGTCTGAACAAAGGTCCTCCACTGAATATTTTTGCATTTATGACCAATAAAGAACGTGTTTTTGGATTGGTGCGTTCAGGCTTTTAACTCGGGATAGAAGGTTTGAGTCCAGTCGGATGTGAACGCCTCAAGACGGGTTTTTAACAGAGCACAAAGTGGGACTAAAAAGGACCGATGTGGATCCAGGACATTCTACATCTGTGGATATTTAAAACTACTCTACACTTGTGCATCATGACAGGGACTGGTCTGCTGCAGGGACTCTGAGGAGCACAGGGACTGGTCTGCTGCTGGGACTCTGAGGAGCACAGGGACTGGTCTGCTGCTGGGACTCTGAGGAGCACAGGGACTGGCCTCCTGCAGGGACTCTGAGGAGCACAGGGACTGGCCTCCTGCTGGGACTATGAGGAGCACAGGGACTGGCCTCCTGCAGGGACTCTGAGGAGCACAGGGACTGGCCTCCTGCAGGGACTCTGAGGAGCACAGGGACTGGCCTCCTGCTGGGACTATGAGGAGCACAGGGACTGGTCTGCTGCTGGGACTCTGAGGAGCACAGGGATTGGCCACATGCTGGGACTATGAGGAACACAGGGACTGATCTGCTGCTGGGACTCTGAGGAGCACAGGGACTGGCCTCCTGCTGGGACTATGAGGAGCACAGGGACTGGCCTCCTGCTGGGACTCTGAGGAGCACAGGGATTGGCCTCCTGCTGGGACTATGAGGAGCACAGGGACTGGCCTCCTGCTGGCACTCTGAGGCGCACAGGGATTGGCCTCCTGCTGGGACTATGAGGAGCACAGGGACTGGTCTGCTGCTGGGACTCTGAGGAGCACAGGGACTGGCCTCCTGCTGGGACTCTAGGGAGCACAGGGACTGGCCTCCTGTTGGTCCCAGAGTCAGAACTAAACATGGGGAGGCCGCATTTCAGATTCATGCTGCTAAGATCTGCAACAATCTTCTTGAAAGTGTGAGACAGGCCTCTTCTCTGACAATATTTAAATCCAGGTTAAAATCAGTTCTTTTTCTGCTACAACTGAGGGATTTTTTATTTGTATCTTTCTTTTTAATGTACTGTGTTTATTATCTTGTTTCGTTCCACACTTTGAGTTGCCTTTTGTGCCATATTAATAAACTTGCCTTGCTCTTTGTGTTTGAACTGTTTAAACACTAAGAATAAAATACACAATTGTAAAGTGCTTTGTGACTGTGGTCTGTGAAAGGCGCTATATCAATAAAGATGACTCACTTTTTTTTCTTACCGTTTGATTCTCTGATCTGTGTTGGAGATTTCAGCAGTTTCGTTACGTCCTCAGAGATGTCTACTGTTATCTGCTGTTACTGGAACTGAACTGAACAATGCATCTTTGCTCAACACCATGATTCTCTGATTGAACGAGGAGTTGGAGAGTCTGCAGCAGCTGTAGCTGGAGGTTCCAAACAGAGACTACACTGGTCCATGAGAGTCTGTGAGAATGAGACAAACACACTTTCTCTGGAAACTTACAGAATTTACCTCTAAAATCTTGCTTAAATTTATCGCTGCAGCATTGATTGAGTTTGCTTGTTGGGTCTGTGACTGTGGTTTGGTGATATCACAGACAAAGAAAGAAGACCAGAGAGAGACCAGAGAGAGACCAGAGAGACAAGAGAGAGACCAGAGAGAGACCAGAGAGACCAGAGAGAGACTAGAGAGAGACCAGAGAGAGACCAGAGAGAAACCAGAGAGACCAGAGAGAGACTAGAGAGAGACCAGAGAGAGACCAGAGAGAAACCAGAGAGAGACCAGAGAGAGACCAGAGAGCGACCAGAGAGAAACCAGAAGGAGGTCAGAAAGAAACCAGAGAGCGACCAGAGAGAAACCAGAAGGAGGTCAGAAAGAAACCAGAGAGCGACCAGAGAGAAACCAGAAGGAGGTCAGAGAGACACCATAGAGAAAAATCTGAGCGAGACAAGAGAGAGAGACCAGAGAGAGACTATAGAGAGAGTTCCTCTGCTCTGAGAGAGGACTGTGATCTGTCTGTTCTGGAGGTTCTTTATGAATCCAGACTTTTAAACTGAGAATAATCAATAACTCTTCCGGCCGCTGGAAAAGCCATGTTCCAGCTTCTTCCCTCTGGCAGAAGATATCGTTCGTTGAGATGCAGGACATCTTGTTTTTCTCACAGCTTCTTTCCACAAACTCTGATCAGCTCTTTAATTATCTCACATGAATTGAAACTGACAACTGCACTTTAGTTTTTCTTATTTTTACTTTTTTTTTTCTGTGTCTTGTGCCTGGTGCACACTGGGGACTTTTGCAAACTTATGTGGTTTTACTGCAAATGGCAAATGAAATAACGCTGGAGAAAGGTGACAAAACAGACTTGGACGCACAATTCTTCCAAATACAGCCAAATCCACAGAACCACACGCTGCATCTACCTTTGTTATGTTGTGTTTTCATGTTGCCTCCAGTCCCTTTGAATGTGTATTTTTTCTTGCTAGCATGAACAGAAAGATACAGCCTCGCAGTTGGGCTCTTCCCATTTTTCCCGTTTATCTTTTCTTATCTTAAACGGCAAATGTGTTCATGGTCTGTGGTGTTCACGCCTGACTGAGACGTGTACATGTACCTGTATAAGTATGTACTGACCGAGACGTGTACATGTACCTGTATAAGTATGTGTTTAAACTATTAGCTCAATAAGTATTTCTATCTTGCCAACAGAGAGTAAATTCTTGGGTTTCATTAAACTGGCCAGTAGGGGGCGCATGAGCAGAGGTGGGACCACTCAGTTTTGCCATGTAAAGTCTGTTTTGGAGTGAAAGGCTCTCCTCCTGTGCGGTGTACAGTTGTTGGAACAGTCTTAATCGGGGACACTCAATTTTAAGGGAGTACTAACAAATATGTCTCAAAAGAGTCTTGATTTCGGGCATTTAAAAAAACAAAAACAGAAGAAATTGCTGCGTTTCATTGGAGTGGCCTGCAGGGGGCACTTATCTGGGAAAGCCTTGATCCACCTCGCCGCATCCACACACACACCAGACTCATTCTAGGCAATGGGGGTGAAGTGTCTTGCTTGAAGCGTCTTGCCTAAGGACACAACAGCAGTTTGGCACTTTACAGCCGCAGCCGCCCCACTGTGGCATCAGGTGTTCCCAGAGATTAAGTGTCTTGCCCAAGGACACAATGACAGCAGACATCAGTGGGAGTCGATGGTGAAAGTCTTTAGGTCGGGCTCAAACCCACACCCTTCTGTCTCAATGGCCAACGCTCTACCAACTGAGCTACTGTCGCCCTTGCATTATATTTTTACTTACTGCACTTATGGACTGCAGTCTATACAAAACCTCGAGGCAATATTTTTCCTGCTCAAAGTACTCGAGTAACTCAAGGAATCATTCAGCTCCAAGCTCAAGCACCATCACAACTTCATAGAGTTCAATGTGCAGCAAAAATCTGTTAGAATCGCCCTTCTGACACACACATTTGTTTTTTTTTCGACCGTTCCATTGTATGAAAAGGATGTGTTTGTGTTTATGGAACGTCAACGATTCATTTGGGACCAATACTTTTCCACGGCCTCTTCCACGGCCCGACCCCATGTTATTCCACCATTCTTTACAAACAGAACCACATTGAATTTCTATAAGCTCTGCGTTCCGAATGGTTGCACCGTTTTCCAGAGGTAGTGGATCTTCCCGTCCATGAACTCACTCGTTTAGTCCACTCAATCTATCGCTCACCAAAGTCAATACACTTCACCTTTTCATTTTCTCTGCTCGGTCTATTTGGTGTCAGTCTGCTCGCTCATGATCGGGAAAAACATTTAAGGAAATAAATAGTCCCTTCTGCCTGACTCTATTTGCCCATCACCTCAGGACGCCGGACACACGCAGCTTTTCTCATCTCGGAGTTTTCGAGATGAAAGCCGGGTTTTCGGAAATTGCGATGCCGTGTTGTGGATTATGCATTTGCTGATATAGCTTCTTAGAGAACAGAGGCAAGACGCAATCAATACATGACACAAGATATTCTAGAGACACAGGGTTAGACGTTGGTTATTTTCTCTAAAGATTTGAGTTTGTCAAAGTCAAGATAATTTTAACAAAAAAAGTAAAATCTTGGTAAGGGTTATTCACTAAAAATAACAAATTATGCTTATTTTTTAAATGGCAAATGTTTTGTTGTTGCTTGAATGTAGTTTGTCATAAGAATATTTTACTAGTTTTAAGATACTATTTCACAATCTTATTAGAGGAAAAAGTCTGAGCAGTGAGTTTTAAAGATTTTTATGTTTTTTATTTTTGTTTTATTTCCACTTTTCTGGTTTGGATAAAATAAGTTTGTGATGCTATATTAAAACAAATTAAAAATTATAATACATCATAAATAATAATAATAATAAAAGTAATTTGGGAATATTATTTTCTTCTTTTCCGAAATCTTGTAAAGTCATATTTTCTTGTTCTATTGACAGATTATTTGTATTATTTAAGCAGTATTCTACTTATTTCCATATATTTTTTCAAGGTTTTTTTTCCAGTGTACTTTTACCTTCTTATGTGTGGACTCAGCATCTCCCCAAAAGTCATTCTCACTAATTAATGTTAATTACATGGCAAAAAAAAAAACAATCTGATTCACTTTGCTTCTTTTGCCAGAACCATCCAGAAACACAAGGGAAGATCAGGGGTTGGACCAAAACTGGGGAATCAACTTGAATATGAAATAAAAAGGGTTGGGCTTAACTAACCGAACACAGTCCACCATTGTGTATTTAGAGACTGAATGAATAATCCGATGGTTTTGTGGCTCCGTCAGTCCTTTCAAGTGTAAATATCATCAACAGCTCAGAAACAAAAACAACTTCAAAAGAGAAAACACATAATCCACTACGGTTCCAATACTAATCAAACATCATCCCGGGGACCAAGATCATTCGTTTGCGGGCCGGATCCAGCTCCCGGGCCTTGACTTGGACACCCACACCCAAGACAATTTTACATGAAGTCAACAGAGAGTCAAAAATACTCACACATAACAAAATCAGCAACTTCACACCGATCAGGAAAAGGGGTAAATGCAGGGACACAAAAATCGAATAAGTCCCATTGGAAGGGGATGCGATACCTTGGCTCTTACCTTCCTCCCAGCCCTGCGGACTTCCCGACTTGTCTTTGCTCTTGTGGTGTCGATCTCCGGCTGCTACGATGCTCCAGGTGAACTCTGGGCTGGTGTCCTGCTGGCGATCACAGGCCTCTCTGCTTCCAGGGCACCACGGCTCTGGGGAAGGACAACACTTATGAGTTGGAGATCTTCGTCTTGCCTTTAAAGATGATTAGACTGGTTTTTATAATGTCTTGTTGTGGAATTTCTATTAAAAAAAACCTTTAACTTATTGCCTGCCAGCCCATTTCAGAACAGGTACTCCGATATGGCCAGCAGTTTCTGATGATTTTTATTGATATTTCAAGACCCACAGAATATTGTGTACTATGACTATCTGAAATCCGAAACCAGATTCTGAAAGAATGGATTGTCTACTTTCATCAGCAAAAATGTTTTTGTTTCAAGCTTGTTTCGTTCTCCTGTATTCCCCAGTTGAGTATTGGGAAGTTTTACTGAAACCACCAGTCTCAAACAAAAATCTGAGAAAAAGAGGCGCAACAAGTGCATCCTGTTTTAAAAACATACAGAGGCAGCGCTTGTGCCACCTGCTGGCTCGATGAAATATGCTCTTGATGTAATCCCTATACAAATTAGATAGAACAGACCTCTAGGAACATGAAAATAGTGAAAAACGTTTTAAGACGTCAATAACACACAACCGTACTATTTGATTTGATGTCTTTGCACCTCCTTTTATATCCTACTTGTTGATATTATAGGTTCTCTGTCAGCTGAGGTCGAGCTGTTGTAAGTTACATTGAGTTCTATGGAAATCTGTCTGTGTAGCCCACGTGAATTTAGTCTTATTTAGTCTGCAGTACCTCAGGAATCCTCCGGGCCCATGGGTCCTGCAGCTCCATGCTAACAACACCCCATCCCAGGCATGTCTAAACTCAGGCCCAGGGGTCAATTGCGGCCCTCAGTGTCATTTTGTGTGGCTCTCTTCCTTGCTAACCCAAAGTAGTCTTTGAGATCATAAACACAAGTTCAGAGTGTCATCCATCCAACTCCAGCTCAGCGAATATAGACCTCATTCTAAAGCTCAGAACGTCTGGAGTTGAGTCGTTGACTTTGATTGTACGTGCTGTGCAAAATAGGTTTTCGATTGCGGCACAAAACTTCAGATAATATTGCTAATGTAGCTGTGAGATGGTAAACAAGTGTCATTCAGACAACTTCAGCTCTGTTATAGATCATTTTAAAGCTCAGAACAGCCTGATGTCAGTCAAGGCAGTTTTCTCGTCCGTGATGTCGGCCCATGAACTAGTCTGGTGAACTAAAGTGGCCCTCCTACTAAAACGTTCAGACAACCCGGCCCTATCCAAATATTATAATAGACCCAAGATAACTACCCGGGCCATGCTTTGCTTCAGCGGTCTGACACGATCTGGATTTCACATGGAGTTGGAAACACAAATCAAGACAAGATGTAGAGAGAGACACACACGGCTCCGTCGATGCTGAATCACACGCAGCGAGACCAACGTTTTGTTTAGACTTATTCTGCGGCTTTATGGATGTAAAGCATTTCAACCACAGCCGAGGGACAGTTGGAGTTCAGAATGGTACGAGCCAAAGAAAGGATGACGGGATAAAACTGATTAAAGTCCTTTTTTTGGATCTACATCTCCAGAAGGAAAGACTTCAGGTTTTAATACAGACAGAATTTTCCCCAGTTTTTTATTCTATATTTCACCATCTTATTTATGAATCTGAAATCATTGTGATGTTGTATTTTGATAACTCTGCCGTGTTTAAATGTGTTACTTTGGTGGATTATTTTGGACAGTAAAGTAAGAATAGTTTTGTGGTTTTCCAATGTGACTTCTAAAAACATTTTTTTTTTGTCAGTATAATATTTAAGTAAGTAAGTAAGTAATCTTTATTTATATACCGCCTTTCACAGACCAGAGTCACAAAGCGGTTTTACAATTGTTATTATTTGGGCATTTGTCTCTCACTCCACACAGAGATGGGAGTGGGGCCAGTACAGGAGGCACATGCCAGACCTATTGTACATATTTTTAGTGGTAGGGGAAACCGGAGAACCCGGAGGAAACCTACGCAGACACGGGGAGAACATGCAAACTCCACTCAGAAAGACCCTGGTCCGACCGGGATTCGAATCCAGGACCTTCTTGCTGAGAGGCGAGAGTGCTATCCACTCAGCCACCGTGCCGCCCAAATATAGAGTGTAAACGGGGACATACTCTTGGGTCATTTCTCTTATTGATCTGTGAAGTTTTCTCACACACAAGTCCAAGCTGATCAGGATTTGGATTTAGCATTAATAATTACACAAACCATTAACCTTCACACTATTTGCCAAAGCACCTTTAAAATTAATCGCCAAGAAGTTTTTTTTTTTTTTAATGTTAAAACACAATCCAATATTGACATAACGGGTGAATGTTATGTCAATGCTGAAAAGTTGGCGCCAAAGTTATTTTTACAACTCTGTGTAAGTAGTAAAAAGACATCCTCGTTGCGTAGCATGCAGCACTTGTGTTAAAAGTGAGTATTGGGAGTTTGTGCAGCGGAAAGGCCCTCCCACTGCTGCCCTTTGCGCCTGGACTCCATCTGTGCTACTCCCTGTTGACAGCCGCTCTCACACACTCATCTCGGGGGTTTTGGTAAATCGCTGCTGCCTCTGGCCTCGTTCAAATAACTTTTGCCACAGAGGAGCAAGCACCGACTCGCACGTCATCTGCTCAATGTGCTTCATATTCTATATATATGCCATATCAAAATGTAGTTTCACTAAAAGTCATCTGTGTTGACAGCCGAATGCAGGGTTCTTGCTTTCAGAGTCCGGGACAGTGAGTTTGAAATGAGTCCAAATGGAAAATCCCTTGAGATAAATTGTACATTGGCAAGACCCAGCAAGGGCATCGAGGTTAAACTAACCTGGTCCAACTGCAAAAAACTGTTTGAACCAATGGAGAGGAAAAATCTACTTTTATTCTCCAGTTAGCCAAGCCTGGAGTAACTTTTTTTGGTTTCAGAAATGTTATATCTTATATACCAAGAGCTGACCTTAAGGGTCACCCAGGCTGAGCGGCGGCTGGAACTCTTTTTTCACTGAAAACGCTGTGACCGAGGCCAAAAATACACACAACTAACTGTTTTGAGAGTGAAGTATGGATAGATATGGATTTTATTGCATTTATAATTTGTGGTGGTTTCAATATTGGCTTCTCCAGCTTTAAGCAAGGATTTTGTTTATACAACATTAAAAAAACAGACTTCATTAGATTAATAACTACACAAACCCTTCAATCTGACCTTCACACTAATACTGAGTCCACCCTTAAAATGAACAGACGTTTTGAAATAAAACAAAATAAACTCTTGTAATGACCACAGCTTATTGTTTGGATGCAACTAATTCAATCCATGATCGACAAGTAAGGCCCCCCACTATTGGTCTAACCCAGAGGGGCGTGTCCCGGCTCCAAGTGGTCCATGAGCATGTGCACCGACATCCTGCAGAATCAGAATCATTGGAATCAGAATCGTCAAAATCAGAATCATTAGAATCAGAATCGTCAAAATCAGAATCATTAGAATCAGAATCGTCAAAATCAGAATCAGAATCATTAGAATCAGAATCGTCAAAATCAGAATCATTAGAATCAGAATCGTCAAAATCAGAATCATTAGAATCAGAATCATTAGAATCAGAATCGTCAAAATCAGAATCATTAGAATCAGAATCGTCAGAATCATTAGAATCAGAATCATTAGAATCAGAATCATTAGAATCAGAATCATTAGAATCAGAATCATTAGAATCAGAATCATTAGAATCAGAGTCAGAAGAATCAGAGTCAGAAGAATCAGAATCATCAAAAGGGCTGAGGGGAGTATATTTTTTGACCCAGTCTAGTTAATCTGCTGTGGACTTTTGAATGCACTTAAATGAATAAGGCTAGAGCAGCTAAGTCATGCACAAATGTATTTTTTTCACATTCTCCAGCCCTGCGGCCATTTTGAAAATCCCACCGAAGGCAGAAGTGTCGGCACATCCCATCAGTGTGTTGCGTTTCCTGATGTGTCTCTGTCGCTCTTTCAGCAGCGGCACTAAACATTCACACCGACACATCCGCACAGCGCTCTCCCCGCCGCAAACATCGTCCACCATTAAATGAAGAATGTTTTGCCTCAGTGTGTGTTGTAAATCGTTAAAGTAGTCTCCCATTCTTTTCAGTCAATACAATCACACAGCCATTGTCGGAGCGCAGTTTCTCATTTGACTGGGCACAATTCTTTGTTTTTCAGCCGCGGCGCATCAAAGTCGGAACAAAGAGGTTTTACTTTGAGCGGGGAAACGACTCCATTGATTTGCTAAAATATGCCGAGGGAAAAATAAAAAAAATAAAACAGTGTAATGATGTCGGTTATATACGTTTTTATATGGACTCAGGCCATATCTGATCCAGGGCTTGTCGGTGAATGTGCAGACGTTATAATTTCAGAGTCAGTGCAGTAAAGAATTAGAGGAGAATGATAGCTCTGCTTATTCAGCAAACTCCCATGTCGCTTCCTAAACTGAGCCGTTAATTGTACTTTGACAATGTTATCGGCTGCAAATCACATTTAATGTATAGAATTATGGGACATGAAGCAGCGGAATTGGCAGAAGAATTAGATGAAAAGGTTGTTTAATGCGTTATATGAGGAGGTGACCACAGATATAAATGTGAAATGTTTTGGGACATGCATCTTGTTAAAGTTTTAAATATGCACCGATCAAGTTTTTTCAAGTCTCAAACAAATCACGGCTAAACTATTTATTAACAATCAGTTAAATTGTCTATATGGTTATTTTTCATCGAACCTGTGTGTAATGGCAGAATCTTTATTTTCTTGGTTTTGTCTTTTTCTTGTTGTGTTCCATCCATAGACTTTAATTATAAATCAATCAATCATTTATTTGTATAGCACAATTCATGTACAAGGCAATTCGAAGTGCTTCACAAGAAAAATAAAAAAAACACAGATCAAAAATTCATTCACAAGTCAATAAATATACAAAAAGCAGTTTAAAAGAGTATGGGGTTTAAAACACATTAAAAAGTGGGGTTGAAAAAAATAAAAAAAATAAAAATAAA